TCCTTGGAAGGAGAGCCTGGGAAACTCTTGAAACATCTATAGAAAACAAAATGTTCTTCTTAAGGGCATCTCTGTGACTTGTTTATGCTTACACCTACAGAACCATGATTTAGGGACAACCCTTTCCAAAGAGACAGGTACTGAATGAGATCCTTCAACTCAAGCAGCAGCTGACCTATTAAAACTATTTTTAAATGTGCCATGGTTTTTACACACTAACTATATACCTGCAGTATACATCTGTACTCACAAAAAAATGTATTCACAAAAAAATGTATATTCACAAAAAATGGCCAAGACAAGATTTTATTTTTATTTTCCTCAACTTTATTATATATGGTAATACCTCATTTTTAAATTTTAACTTAATATAAGGCTTATCAGACCTCTTGTGTATTCTCCTTAACCAATTAAATGCCATAAGAATTTTATATTAGAAAACAAATAATTAATGAACATACTTATTGATTACCATATATGTGCCAAGCACTATTCTAAATGTTGTGACTATATCATGAGAGTAAGGAGGTGTGCTGCTGTGGTGAAGCGCCTTGACCAAGGCCAATTTTAGAAGAGTTTGTTTGGGCTTATGATTCCAAAAGGATAAGAGTCAATCATTGGGAGAAATATGGCAGAAGTGACAGGCAGTGTAGCAGGAGCAGGAATTTTCAAACACAAACACAAAGCAGAGAGATCAAACTGGAAGTGAGCCAAGGCTATAATCTCTCAGATCCCACCCCCCAGTGGCATACATTCTCCAGCAAAGCTACACCTCCTAAGCCTTCCCAGACAATACCATTAACTGGGGGCCAAGTATTCACATTTCTGAACTTATAGGGGCATCTTTCACTCCACAGGAGCAATAGCAGATGAGAATGAAAGAGTTCCTGTGCTAGTGGTATTTACATTCCAGGAAGTGGTTACAAATAGTCAACAGAATGACCAATGAGACCAGTGAAACCAGACAAGAAAGGGGAATGTGAGTGTTGCAGGGGAAGGGGATGGGGGAGGGGAGGTCAAGAACGGCTTCTCTAACAATGTGGCATTTGTATAAACACTTGAAATAAAGAATAAGCAATGGGAACACTGGGAGAAGGAGTAAACAACTAGAATGAAGAGCCTGAGGCAGGTGTGTACCTGACAGTGTTCAAGGCCAGTAGGGCAGCAAAATGGACAAGGTTGATGTGAGGTAATGAAATGACACATGAGGTTCAGGCACACCAAGCTCTATTAATCAACTTTTCATAAATACCTGAGATAATCCGCTTATAAAGAGAAAGGCTAGTATACTAGCTCTGGATCCGATCCCCAGGACCATGAGAGTGAAGTAAACCGGGGGGGGGGGGGGCAAGGAAGAGGCTTATTTTTTATCACAGTTTTAGAGGTTCCAGTTGGCTCTGTTGTTTCAAAGGCCATAGTGAGGAAGTACCTTAATATAGGCATCATATGTTAGAGCAAGCTGCTCATCTTTGACCAAGGAGCAATAGAGAAAAAAGAAACCAGAATCCCATAGTCCCTTCAAAGCCATGTCACCAATGACTTAAGTCCTATCTCTTGGCCTTATTTCTTAAGGATACATAACCTTCTAATAGCATCACAAGCTGAGACCAAAACTCTGGAATTATTATCCATAGGGCCATTGTAAGGAAATTGTTTTTTACTCTGCCTGAATACACAAAGATTCTATGCAGAGAAGTGCCAATTCTGATTTACAGACTATCCTGATTACATCCTACCTGAGTAGATTGTGGAATGGAAGCATGAAGAGTACACAAATCAATGCAATTATGGGCTGGTGAGATGGAACATTAGCTGCCAAGCCCAATGATTTGAGGTCAATAGGCATAGTGGAAGGAGAGAATTGACCCCAGCAAGTGGTACTCTGACCACCACACATGCACACACACACAGGCACGCACGCACGCATGCACACACATACATGCACACATACACACTGTAACATGCACATATCTCACATATACAGACAAATAACAGGGAGATAAGGAATAGTGGTCAGCTTCTGACTATATTTTTAATTCTTTCATTCACAAGATTGAATGTTGAATATGAGAAAGAATTCAGTTTGACATGGGAAGGAAGTTGTAGCCATAATTGAGATGGGAAAATTGTAGAAAAATGAGTCTAAGGCATATTAGAAGGTCAATTTTGGAAGTAGAAAGGAGTTAAGACAGAGTCTTGTCTGTATTACAGACTGGCCTGGAACTCACTGTGTAGTCTAGGCTGCCCTCAAACTGGCAACAACCCTGTCTCAGCCAAATGCTGAGATAACAAGTGTGAGTTATTCTACCTGGCTGGAAGTTCAATTTTTTTTAACATACTTGTTTTGAAATGCTTAATGACAAAGAGTTGGATATATAGGACTCAGGTTCAGCAGATGGGATTAAGCTGGGGGTATACTTTTGGGAGTTGAAGCAGTTAGATAGCTTTTGATCCAATGGTGGATGTAGAAACAGATATCTGAGAATTGAGCATTAGAACATTCTAGAGCTTAGAGAATAGGGAGAAGGAAAAACCAGCACTGGCATCTGAAAAAGCAATACCAAGTGAGAACGTGGATGCTAAAACCCAGTGAAGAAAGTGTATCACTGAAGGTAGAGTAATAGATCTTTGTAAAATGTTCCTAATCACAGGAAGGTCTGAGAATTAGTTAGCAGCACTGGAGTCTTCAAGACCTTTGATACATTATATCGGAGGTACAGTGGGGAGCAGACTGATGAAGGTGCCTTCATATAGGAGAAGAGGAAACAAATAAGCATAATACCATAGGAACTGCTTGAAGCTTAACTGATGAAGAGTTGGAAAGCTGAGCCATAGTCAGAAATGAATGTGGAATCAAGACACCCTTTACCTTTTTCCTGAGATGATAGAAATGATTCTGAGCAGGGAAAGATGAAGCAACTACTCTGAAGATGGGGCAGTTGTTGATACAGTGTTTCAGATGGGTGAAGGGGGGTGTGCCTAGGTAAGAAGGCTGATATAAATAATTAGGAAAGCTGTATTCTCTGGTACCAGAGAATGTGACTCTGGAGGTAACTACATTAGTAACTGTGTATCAGATCTCTTTTTGATTGGATTTCCTCATGAAATGAGAAAGGAGTAAGGTTTTGGAGATTAAAGAGAGAAAATCAAAGATTGTTGCCAAATAATACAAGGAAGTTCTGGACAAGGTCAATAGGATTATTGGGCATTGTCAGTGGCCCATGTGAAGGCCCAGGGAAGCCAATATGCAATGAAGTATTTTACTTTCCCCCAACCTTTCATAACTATCAAGTTCATAACTGTCAAGTGAGAACAGGTAGAGTAGGCAGAACATTAAACTTAGCTGGAGGTTGTGGTTTTGACAGGTAAACAGGAGAAAAGGAGACAGAACCAAGGAAATGACTGTAAGGAGAAGTAAGGAGAGTTGGTTACAGAAAAAATTGAGGAAAGGGATAAAGGGTGAGTGTGAAGTGTTTGTAGAATTAATATAGCTCCCCAGAGGTTGAAAACTCTGATAATGATAGTAAAATAGTAATATAATTATTGACATTTATAGTACTCTGAGTTCATTTGCTTTAAAAAAAAAAAAAACTATGTCTTTAATAGGGTAGATAGTGGTAGTGGTGGTTGCAGTTCTCGTTACATAGATAAGGAAAGACCCAAAGAGGTAAATAACTTAGTTGAAAATCACACAGTAAGTCTGTAGTAGTGAAGAATACCAAAGCTCTGTAATTGTATGTAGTTTTTTGGTTGTTTAGGGTTTTGTCTTTTTGACTATATCAGTTCTTCTCAGAGTTTACTCAGTCTTGTTGAAGAGATACAATATAGAAAACAGCATAAGAGCATATGTACCCAAGCCTTAAATTCTACAATATGGAATAATATAAGACATTTTTCCATTCAGTAATACAGATGGAATGCTGGCATGAGCAAGAAACTGCCACATGTCCTAGAGAAACATATGTCAGTAAACCAGGCTGAAGAAAAAGAAGGACCTAAAGGTAGATGCTCAGACAATTCCTACACGGATTTCTCAGCAGTGATTCTTCAAAGACATCATGGTTTGGTGAGAGGCATACTGTAGGAAATCAGGAAATTAATTTTTCTGCAACTTGGTGTGACTTTGTTGTTTTAACTCACAGTGCGTTGACAGGTTCACAACTATAAGCTGAGATTTTTATGGCTTTGCAAGTGCTTTTTAGCCTGACATTTTATGAGTATCTATCTAGTCTAAAGAAATAGTTGCACTACTCCTGTACTAGCAAGTTCTAAAAGCTGTCCTCCATTTTAGAACTGAGGAATCTAAAAGGGAAATGTAGGCCATGAGTGCCTGAAGGGTCCAGTAGTCCCTATGTTAATAGGCATGAATCCAGGGGCTGCTTGCTGAGAAATTCCAGGTTCTCATGTCCCAAAATAAAGAACTGGACTAGGGACACAAGGATTGTGATAGAAATAGAGACAGTTTATTAGAACTGGCACAGGTTCCAGTCCTTTGGACTTGACATTTTGGATCCTTTATAAAAAAATAAAATTTAATGTAACACTCTCCTCCCACATTCAGAGGGCTTGAATTTTGGTGTGTGTGTGTGTGCGTGTGTGTTCTTGTTGGGGGAATGTTCTTGTTTTGTTACATGTAGCCAATGGCCAGAAGTTTCCTGCCTTCCTCTGCTAACTGGATTCTTTTATATGATAATCTTAATTATTTATTTACATATTTATTTAGTGGAGCACAAATGTCATGATGCATACATGGAGAGCAAATGATAACTCCCATACCTTGTGAGTTTCAGGGATTGATCTCTTATCATTAGGCCTGGTGGCAGGCACTTTTATCCAATGAACAATCTGATGGGGCCCTCATATGCTATGGAGCCTTTCTCTACAAGCCCTATCCTTCTGTTATACCCATCTTCAATTGATGTTATGTGAGGATCTGATAAAGGCTTTAAAATAACTAATGGCATTTTCTCCTTCTTCCTTATGCCTCTCTGGTGATTTAGGCCTGGAAAAAACGATGGTTTATACTGCGGAGTGGCCGGATGAGTGGAGACCCAGATGTTCTGGAATACTACAAAAATGAGCACTCCAAGAAACCCCTGCGGATCATCAACCTGAACTTCTGTGAGCAGGTGGATGCAGGTCTGACCTTCAACAAGAAAGAGCTACAGGATAGTTTTGTGTTTGATATCAAGACCAGCGAGCGCACATTTTACTTGGTGGCTGAGACAGAGGCTGACATGAATAAGTGGGTCCAGAGCATTTGCCAGATATGTGGCTTCAATCAAGCTGAGGAGAGCACAGGTATGAGAGCAAGCACAGCTCTTTCCCAGGGGATTCTTCAGAGACATCAGGTTCCTCTAGCCAGGAAAACTAGCTCTAGTTAAGATTTCTTTTGGGCAAATGTGATTGGCACATTGGGAGAATATAACAGAGTCAGTCTGATATAGATGAACCTCCTGGTTCTAATAATGCTCATATGGGGAATCAAGAAAGGCTAGGGTCATGACAATACTAAAGATATTTCAGATGCCTTGATGCTTCTACCATTTGTCAGCTCTCAACCACTTCTCCCACTCTTGTTTTTCATACTGTGCCTGTCACCTGTCAGCCATGCCATAGGGAAGATCTCCCTTTGATCACATCTCTGATTCATTTCTCTCTGTTCTAGTCCATCTGTTTTAGGCCCTCTCACAGTTTGCTTGCCTGTTTCTTAGGTATCCTTTGTGTTATTGATACATAGTCTTGAGTTCCTGTATATACACTTGAGGACATTGAAAGAATGAAATGCTTGCTGACTTTATGTTTGAGTTTTGACAGCCCTTTTTTTAAAAAATACCTCAACTTGTGTGGATATCTATGTTTTATGTGTGTGGGAGTGTGTGAAAACCCACTCATGCACATATAACAGCCAAAAGTAGACATTGGATATCTTTTTCTATCACTCTCTGCCTTATTTATTGATATGTAAATATCTTTTCTTCTTAAATATCTTACAACTTATTTTAGAACTTAGTTGTGGGAAAAGGGGCCGCAGTGGGGGAGTCTCGGAGGGTTTCCACATGACAGATCCCACATACAGGAGAAAGGTCTGGAGTTCCAAAGGCTGGAGGTTTTGGTGACGGCAGGCCCCAATGACACGAGGAAGTCCTTGGTTACAAAAGGGTTTATTGTCATGGCAGATGGTGGATGGATCTAGAAGTACCCCCCCTGAAACCCAGGGCAGTCCTGAGTTAAATAGGGAGGGAGAAAAGGGGAGTGTCTGGGGAGGAATGCTTAATTTGCTCTGCCCTCTGGCCTTCATTGGTATGTAAATCCCTAGGGCCCGAGGCCTATGGTCACGCCCTCTACCTGTGCACTTTGGGAGGGGCTGTAATGGCCTACGTGACTGAACAATATAGGTCTATGGAGACAAGACTGCGCATCAGGACTCTGGGTTCTGGGGACGTGGCTCAATGCCTGCCGCTTATCTCACTTAGAGTCTCAGGGTTCCAGGCCCATGCCCAGCCATGAACCAGGATACCCTTATGCAGTCCCACACTTAGTAGTAGCTCATATTTGTAAGTCATGACTGATTTTTAATTGCAGAAGTTTTATCACCACTGTAATAAGACTATTCCTAGGCACAGTATCCTAAAATGCAACACTATCTTACCTCAATGGCAAATTATGAAAGATTGACACAAATCAACTTGAATGACTTACCATCTAGGAAATTAGGGCACAATGCATTTCTTGTCAAAAGTAGTTCATTGGGCTGGCAAGATATCTTAGCAGATGAAGTATTTGCTACACAAGCATGACAACCTGAGCTCTGTCTCCAGGACTCATATCAGAAAGAGATAGCTCACAAAAGCTGTCCTCTGACTTCAGTCAGACTCACTGAGGCAGCATTCATAGTAACAGTAATTTTTATTTCATTATCATTTTTTTGATGGTGCCGGAAAGTAAACACAAGGCTTTTGCCTCTAGGCAAGCACTCTATTACTCAGCTGTGTCCCTAGCCCTCACCATTTCCTTCTATAGAACAAAGTCATTTACATAGTCTAGACATAATTAGAAGGTTCTGATTCTTCATGTGAAGGCAAGTAAAGAGGCCAAAATGACACCTTATTCTTTAAGTAAATGACACACAGGTGACAATTCAAGTTTATAGCTCATAAATGGCTGAAAGACAGTTTTATTCATTCATGTACTGTAACCCATTCAAGAAGATATAGGGTTATATTTACCTCACTGAACTGGCTAGTAATGAACATTTTACAAGTTTATGTTATAGTTACAAACCATTGCTATGTAATTTGAAATGTTAACAATTTAAATGTCTAATATTCTAAATGTCAAACACCTATTAGCAGTGAAAAAAAGCATGATTATCAAAAACAGTACCTGATCATACCAATTAATTTAATGTAAAATGTCATGCCAGGTCTCAAAATCATGAAACCATAAAAATAATGCCGAAGATTTCACTGTTGACGTTAATTGATAATTTGGAAGAATGAAAGAAATAACAACCAGAAGTTATAAATATATGACTAGATAGTTACAGTACAGTGAGGTTCTTGTTTAGAAGACTGGAAAACAGCTCAAGGGTCCAGGAAGATCAGAAGATAGTTCAGTCAGTAAATTATTTGCTATGTAAGCAGGAGGACCTGCACTCACTGCACCCATATAAGAAGCTGTGGCAGCACTGTAGCAGCATGCTAGAGAAATAGAGACAGGCAGATCCCTGAAGCTTGCTGGCTAACCAGCCTAGCCAAATCAGTGAGAGGCCCTGTTTCAAAAAGTAAGATAGAGACTAAGGAAGACACCAAACAGCAATCCATTTGCATGTACTTAGGCATACATGTGCAAACATGCCCACAAACATGCACACACACACAAAGAGGGTAACCATATTTGGGCATGGTGACTCATGGCTGTAATACTAACACTCAAGAAGTTAAGGCAAGAGGATTGCATGAGTTTGAGGCCAGCTTGTAGATTAGAGTTAGACCTGTCTCGATCAAAAAGGCCATGGACAAATCTCAGTATGTTAATCCTGATGACCTGAGTCCAATCCCTAGAACCCAAGCTGCATGTAATAGTGATTATCTGTAATCATGGCACACCTATGGGAAATAGGACTCAGATAACAGAACCACCTGGAAGCTAAGAGCTAACTAGCATAGCCTATGAACCTATGAAGTGGCAGAGTAAGGGAAATCAACACACACATACACCCTAAAAACAAGTTTTGCCTCAAAAAACAATCCCAACACCCAAGGCTCAAGGAACATCACAGAAGAGGTAGGGTATAAAAATTGCAAGAGCCAGAGACCAGAACATCTCCTTCAAGATAATGGCTTCTATATATGTCAAGAAAGCTAAAGCCATGAAATCTCAACAATATAGTTATCTAAAGAAGACCTGTAAAATGATAATACATGGTTGACATGCTAGCACAAATAGGAGGAATCTCCCAAGGCCCAGCCCTAAATGAAAACTACAAGTAAATAATGACTGCTGAGAAAAGGCAATCAGTCTTCTCCAGGGATGAGCCATCCCCCACCACCTAGTTATCCAATGAGGTCACCCCTAAAAGTCCGTACATATGAGCAACATTAAATGCACTCAGCAGGTTGTATTTATATATTTATATACACACATGTAACAAAAAATTAGAGAAAGGTGGTCCATAAATTTGAGATAATGAAGTGGGGAGTGACATTGGAAGAGTTGGAGGAAGGAAGGAGAAAATGATGTGTCTACTGGGGCTGGGTACCCCTACTCAGTTGTCTTTATGATGAGTTGTAGCTCTCTCCAGTGATCTCTGTTTACTAAAAAAAAAAAAAGGTTTTATTGTTGTTGTTTTGTATTGTTTTTAATGAAGGAGGGAGGCTACATTTACCTGTGGGTAAAAGAACAAGTACTTAGGATGAGTTAAAATTATACTAGTTTGGTCAGGTGGTGGTGGTACACACCTTTAATCCCAGCACTTGGGAGGCAGCATCGGCAACCAGATCTTTGTGAGTTTGAGGCCAACCTGATCTATGGAACAAGTCCCAGGACAGCCAGAGCTGTTGCACAGAGAAACTCTGTCTCAAAAATACCTAATTAATTAGCTAATCAATTAATTAAAAAGAAACACACACACTTGTTTGGAAAAATGGCAGTATTAAGTTCTATGACCTCACCAGCCATTTGCAGTTGGCTAGGTTCACAGAACAAAACTCATGAATTCTCTCCTAATGAGTAGGCTTTATGTTCAATTAGACAACTGTTGATTGCCCTCAAGACATAGATGCCACTATTAAACCTCTGGAGATACCTTACCTGTCACATCTGTGTAGGACTATTGATTGTTTTCTTTGGCAGCTTGCATAGCACCTTCTGGTATTATAAAAGCTATGCCTTGGTCAGGAGGCTTCCAGGTCTGCTCTGGCTCAGTTCTAATTCCTGTGTCTATAGAATGTGGACTCTTTAAGGGCTTATCTTCAAATTCTGAAAGATAACCAAGGGCAATGGCAATAACATATTGTTTTATGAGTTTCTTGGACTCCACTGACCAACAACCAGAAACAAGTTTTCTTATGTTGGTACTGAGGTTTTTGTCAAATAGGTTATGGCTCGGGGGGGGGGGGGGGAAGCAGTATCATCCTAGGTGGCATAACTTCATTTAATGTATACACATATACACACATATGTCTTATATGTAATTTTAGGTAAATGTAATATGATTCTCAGGACTGGAGAGATGGCTCAGCAGTTAAGAGCAATGGTTGCTCTTCCAGAGAACTTGGGTTTTATTTCAAGCACCCACATGGCTGTTAACCAACAGTCTTTAACTCTGCTGGACCACCTTCTGGTCTCCATAGGCATTGCATGGTGCACAGACATGTACAGACAAAACACCCATACAGTGCTGAGATGATAGACAGATACCACTGCACCCAGCTCCTTAAATGGATGTAGTTAATCAGGTCTTCAAGACCCATGTTTGCCAAACAAACACTATACTGAATGAGCCATCTACCCAGCCTAGTTTTCTCTCTTCTTAGGTTGATCATGGCTCACTGTTCCTGCTGCTATACAGGAGCTTTTTAGTTTGTTGTCGTTACATTTGAAATGAGTCAAGTCGCCATCTTCTGTCTGTGGACATCTAGTTTTCCTAGTACCCATTACTGAAGAGACTGTTTTCTCTCTAGTTTTTATATGTTGTTGGTGCCTTTGTTGCCAATTAGGTAGATAAAGATATGGGTTTGGTTCTGGGATCTCTGCTCTATTTCATCAGTCTGTGTATTTGTTTTTATGCCAGTATC